GTGCAGGCTATGCCAATATGCAAGGTAACAGATTCATCCTTCCCCTCTACTGATCTTTCATACATGCAGAGGGGGAGAAAAAAAAAGAAAAGAGAAAGCAAAAATAAAAGAAAAAAACACAGGCTCACTGTCTCTCTGTTACATTCCAGGGTTTTTTTTTCAATCTATTCATATTAATGGTACAACTGGGGATTTCCAGTTTTTGTATCATCACTGCCAGGAGCAGGCTAATGGAGCATCTCAGAGACAGACCACAGTTCCAGCCACACAGGGCACTGTGCTCCTTTTATTACAATCTGTAGAAGATGTCACACATGCTTTCCTTTAGCAGTCCTCATGAATCAGCAAAGAGCTGCCGAAGAGTGACCACCAGGGCACTTGGGAAAGAATCAGGTGCCAGCTGTCAAAGTATTTCTTGGTGATTTACTTCATTTTCCTATATCTCTCTAGCCACTTGGAGGAACAGGCCAGAGAGGAGCATTTACATATTTGCATTTTACAGGACAGACTGCAAAGAAGAGGTGTTGTCATGCAGGAGGAGGCAAGATTTCTTTCCCATCAGCAGATGCAAAAAGATAGTTCAGTTCCTGTGATTTCTCCCAAGATCTGCATTAGCAAGCCCAGTGTGTGGAGTGTGTGTCCTGTCACAGGTGGGCACCAGGCAGTGCAAAGGACGTGCACATCCATAGCTCCTCCTCGTCTTTGTCCCCCTCTTCCCTTCCATTTGGTGAACATTAGGGGCTTACACACACTCAAGAAAACTTCCAACATGACTGATTTTGTCAGTAACCTGTTTGAGGGAAGTAAGAAATCAGCCATCTTTAATTCCAGCAATGAAACCTGTGGATGCAGATTGCAAAACGTGTGGCCACCCCCCAGCAGGGTGCTGCGTCCTGGTTTGTACGCTGGGTTAAGAAGGCAGCTGTTCTGGAGACAGCCCCATCCTTCACGACCCAAAGGACTGGTGTAGAGAGGGATTACTCAGGCTGTGATGCTGCTTGGTTCCTCTATTTAATTTCTTCTTTCTCTGGTTGCACAGTTTAAAAAGTCACCTTAGTTCTGGGGTTCTTAAGCTCTGATCATGCTTGAGCCCATGATGCCCCAGTCCTTGGTCCCATCCAAAAGAAGGTGGGACTGAGGAGAGGAAAAGAGGCAAGTGAAGTTTCACTGATTAAATATAAACTACTAACTGCACTGAGTCCAGCTTTCAATTTCCCAAGGTTACTTCTAGAAAGCCATTTTAAGTGTAAGAAAATTGTCATCGTTCTGGGAGAAATGCAGCACATAAGAGCAAAAAGAGTGATACTTTTGTGTAATATTCCTACTGTGATGGAACCCAGCTGGAAATAAGGAGGATGCCTCCTTCTGCTTCACTCTTCTGATAACTGCAAATGGACAAAAGTTGCAAGTTGAGAGGATCCCTCACCAATCAGCAATGGGAGATTAACTTTATCATTAACCTTGTCTGTGCCCTCACCAATTTAATTGGCATTGGCCCAGGTCCCAGACCCGAGGCCAAGAAATACAGAGCAGAGTTTGGTCAGGTGATGCAATGAGAGTTACTTCTCTTCCCAGCCATCCTGGACTGGCTACGTGTTGTCTTGATCCCTTGGCACAAAGCACAGCGTCTTTCCATGTCTCCAGCAAGGCTTTCAGCCAGTATAAATAAGCATAACATAACCAATGTCAATAAAAAGGGTTTGCAACCCTTAAGAGTCTAACCATAATTATCAAATTCTCCTTGAAATTTTTCTTTTTAGTTCCCTTTTTAAAAAAGTATTTGTTACCCATCTCCTCACTGTGGGTAACCTCATTCTCTCCAAGCTCCAGCTGGAACCTGCATTACACTTTGCTCAGTGCCCTGTTGCAAAAAACATTCCCCATTCGCAGCACTAAATCCCCTGCACATGCTCCTAAAATATCTTCTGTGGTTCCTCATGCCTAACTAAACAATGCAAAATCCTGATTCTCTGCATACCTCCCACAGCCATCCCAGCTGCTCCTGACACCTTTGCTTTCCCCTAGGCCCTCTTCACTCATCTGAAGTTACTCATCAGGAATCCCCTCCTCCATCACTTCTCTGAGTTTTTTTCTTTCATTGGACCACTTTTGGGGAATGAGGAGAAAGAAGTTATTTTAAATAAAACCTTGACAACTTCTTCCTTTCACATTAGTTTTAAAACTTATCATCATAACAAGATTTGAGCAGATGCATAAATGCTCATTTCTGGATGTTCAAGTCATCCCAAAGCCCTCTGGCCTGGGCTGTGTGTTGACCATGACACCATGGCCTCATGCTAATCCACATGACCTGTTTGGTCTTGAGAGCTTCTGAGCATGGGTCTAGGCAGCCTTTTTGCTGGGATGTGAGAGTCAGCAAATGCTCCCCAGCAGACAAATCTGCTCTTGAGAGCAGACTGGAACCCTGTGGAGATGCTGCCTTTGAGTCACATCTTCCCCATCTCCCTTTTATACTCTGTCCCCAAAAGTAGCTACCCTGAGGCATTTGCTTTGAAAGGACATAATCATATTGGTCCCCCCTCATTATCCCTATTCCCAGCATCTGCACCTCATTGTACAGTCATCTCTTCCCATCATTCTCTCTTAATTTAGTTTGGAAACTCTCTGGAGCAATGAGACATCATTATCTATTTTGTAAAGCGCCATTCAGAGCCGTGGCAGAGTGGCACACATACGTGACAGAAATCCTCCCCTCCCATTTTGCTCCAGAAGAAATGCAGAGCGGGTTAGCACTCAGAGCTTGCTGTGCAGCACGTGCTGCCAGCTCTCCCTGCAGCACAGGAGAGAGCTCACCAGGCTTTGGTCTTCACAGAGTGCTGTGGGAGGCGTCCAGCTGCTACACTCCTGACAACCACAGTCCCACAGAACACATTTTGATGGCAGTTTCTGGAGTGCCAGAGCAATGATGCTCAGTAGCAAGGTGATTTCACCACCTGCAAAGTCAGGAGTAGGCAGGTTTCCCCGCTGGTTTGGGAACATCCACAGGGTGCTTGCAGCATTGTAATGCACTCAGTGCAGCTCAGGCACACACAGCTGAGCTCCAGTAGCACATGTCAACATTCCTCCGTATGTTCCTCCCCTACAGATAACCCCACAGTCAAAGGCAGGGCAATTCCTTGGGCCAAAGGGAAGAAGAATTTTGTGGAGGAAAATCCTATGGCTCTCTTTGGAAAGACATTTCCACTGCGGCTAACAGTGCAGCCTGATGCTGGTTACAACAGGCAGTAGAACTGACACTGCTCTGGGAAGACAGAGGAACATCCAGCAGAATTGCTGATGCATCAGTTTTCCTCTATGCCCCTGCAAAAATGCATATGTATTGTAAATGGTTGGGTTCAATGATGTCAAATGATTCTTTGAGTCTCCCTGGGGTCACCTATAGCTTACCAAAGTTAATGCGCTGGGAACTGGGCTAGATGTCACATCCTCAAACTAGTTTTCCTGAGATACCCTGGAGAACTGTGAATTGGCCACTGGATGGTTACTGAAACAATTAATAATCTCCCTTCCTTTTTAATAATGATAAAATATCTTTAATGGAGACCCAAAAAAAACCAGCACGGATGATACTGCCTGCAGCAATGACAAAAGTTCTTTACTTGTTGCTAATGATGTAGAGCACTAGGCACATCCTGACGTTCCCCCAGCACAGAGCCTGTGTTCAGATCTGTGTACAGTCATGGCAGTGAGGGGAAAGTGCTGGATTGGGAGACAACAGACCTGGGCTCTGAGCCTGACCTAATAGTGAACAGTCACCTAAACTCAGGTCCAGTCCTCTCCTATGTCTGCACTTCTGTTCACCTTTGACGGGGAAAGTGCTGGATTGGGAGACAACAGACCTGGGCTCTGAGCCTGACCTAATAGTGAATGGTCACCTAAACTCGGGTCCAGTCCTCTCCTGGAGGACTGGACCCGAGTTTAGGTGTCTGTACTTCTATTTCTATGTTCACCTTTGAAATGTTCTTTAAAATACATTCAAATTAGATTTTCTTTCTTAAACTTACATAGGACTGATAAAAGCAGTGAGGACCCACCTCTGTGGGAGTGGAACTGAGCAGTGGCACGATCATGTTACAAGCCCCAGCATTCCTAGACTGGGCTCTGTAGATGCAGCTGCACTGACCTCACAGGCAGATCACTCTTGGAGTGATTCCTGGTCTCGGGCATGAAACCCAGAAGAACCACAAGATGTTGGTTCTGACCTTGGCCATGCTCAATCAAGCCACTCACTTGCTCACCACATTACAAGTGAAACATGGAAAGAGTTTAGCATTCAAGCTGTGTGACCTAGCTGAGAGGAGACAGGAATGATGTCAAGGATTTGTGCATGAAGCGTCCATGACAAAACATTATCTTAGGTCAGATGCTACTGAAATGTGAGAGGGAGGATGTCTGTCAGCCTATCAACAGCCAAAACAGGGAGCCACTGCCGTTTTATGCAGCAATACATGTAACACCTGTCAAACAGAAACTTCCTTTTCTACGGTTTGTAAAACCACTGGCCTGGGTAGTAACTGGACTCCCATTACCAACACCTTTGGATTGGGAAGTAGCAGCCTGGGCCAGACAACAGCGCTAGGAATCAGCGTGCCCAAATATGCCAACAGCTAGAGCATCTGTGCTCGTTTCTGCTATTTAGATACAACTTGCGTTTAAAAACGAGGCCGTGCCCCCCAATCGCATCCGCTCTGTACCCACACACAGGTGGGCAGCGCGCTCACCCACACACCGCCGGGGCTGCCGGTCCGCGCTGAGGGGAGCGGCAGCGCTCCCGGGGCACGGCGCGGTGCCGGGCTCCCGGCACGGGGCACGGCCGGGACAGCCCGGGGCGGCCCCGGAGGCGATGCCGGGTGGCCGGGGACGGTGAGACGGGCAGGGACAGCCCCGCCGCCGGCACCCGCTTTCCCTAATGGGCATGTGCGGCGCTCGCACATGCCCACTCGGGCCGGGGGGCGCCGCGGAGGGCTGTGCGCGCCCGCCCCGCCTCGCCTCGCCTGCCGCGGCCGGGGGATTAGTCAGCAGTCTGCGGGCAGCCCCGCTCCCGCGCAAACTCCGCGGCGGGGGCGGGGAGCGGCGCTTGCCCCTTCCCCTTCCCGCGGCGGGGCGGCGGCGGGGCTGCCCCCCCACACACACACCCCCCCGGCGGTCCGCGCCGCCGCTCCGCGGCCAGGGGCGGCGGGTTGGGAAGTCAGGCACCGAGGGGCTGGGAAACTCCTCTCGGGCACGGCGGCGTTGCGGGAGGACGAGCGCCCGAGCCGCCCCGCGCACGCAGGCGGGCGGCGGGCGCGCACACAGCCCGCACACACACGCACACGCGCGGCGGCGGCCCCCGGNNNCCCCCCGCAGCCGCGGCCGGCGGGGAGGCGGCGCCCGGCGGGGCTGCCCCATGGTCTTGAGGGGGCCGTGGGGGAGCTGCGGGGGCCCCGGCGCGGCGCTCGCTCTCCTGCGCGCCCTCCGCACTAGGATGTTGCGGCAGGTCTTGCACAGGGGGCTGGGGACGTCCTTCTCCCGGCTCGGCCACTTCGTCGCCAGCCACCCGGTGTTCTTCGCCTCGGCACCCGTGCTCATCTCCATCCTGCTGGGCGCCAGCTTCAGCCGCTACCAGGTGGAGGAGAGCGTGGAGCACCTCCTGGCCCCCACGCACAGCCTGGCCAAGATCGAGAGGAACCTGGTGGACAGCCTCTTCCCGGTGAACCGCTCCAAGCACCGGCTCTACTCCGACCTGCAGACGCCTGGGAGGTACGGCCGGGTGATCATCACCTCCTTCCGCAAGGCCAACATGCTGGACCAGCACCACACCGATCTCATCCTCAAGGTAACCCCGGCGGGTCCCCCGGCCCCGAGCATCGCTCCCCCACCTGGCCCGGCGCTCCGCATCCCGCCCCGCTCCCCGCACCTGCCCGCCGGCACGGACCCACCCGCGCATGCCGTGCTCTGCCCGCCCGGCACGGGCGCTGCCACCGCAGCTCCCCGGTCACCTCCCTGCAACAGTTGGGACGCCAGCCCGCCGCGGGGAGCCGGCACCGCGCTCCCCGCCCGCGCCGCGGGCTCCGCGCTCTCTCTCCCTTTTTTGTTTTTCTTTGTTTTTTTCTTCTTCCCCCCCCCCCCCCATATTTTTTTTTCTCCCAGTTTGCTTTTATTTGCCTTGGGTGAGCGAGAAGGGCAGTCTGGCTTGCTTAAATAATTTTTTTTGTGTCTCTGTTGTGCTCCCGAGTTAGGGCATCTCGGGCTTTCATAAACTCAAACTTCAATAACAGTTAGGTACCAGTCTATCAGGCTGCCGAGAATGGTTTGGGGGGCTGCTGCTGTGTGTGGACTGCACTTCTGCATGGAGAGGGGTAGCGCAAAACCTTCTTCTCACTGCTCATCAAGGCAAATGACATAACTCAGCAGCTTATTTTTAGTGGGTAGTGTTTTTTTCCCCTCCACTCCCAGCCCACCACCACCGGTTTCATAGATGAAGAGAAAATCCAGCCCAGCTATAGACTGCAGGCATGGTGCAGCCTGTGCTGCTGGTTCAAGTTAGAGCGGGCAGCATCTTCCCACTTGAGCAGCACAGAGTGTGCGAGTCACAATCTGACAGGACATCTCGCTGTGCTATATATCACAACATGTCAGAAACCTGCCTTGCTTGAAGCTGGTACTCTAGTTTATGCCCCAGTAGTTTTGAACAATCCTGGAAAGAAAAACAGGGATGATAGATGCAAAAACTTGAGTGTTAAGAGGGTCAAGTTCACTCAAGAAAAAGGAAAGGAAGATTTGGAAATAAGCAGAGGTGTGGCTAGCTCAGTCCTGCACATTTTTGCTGTTGCCTTGTGGAAGCCCAAAAGATTTCAGGATTGGTTTGTTTTTCTTCCCTCTGAATGTCAAACTGTCAGCCCATATAAAAGCCAATGTTAATTCTTCTTTATTGCTTCAAGGAGTGTCTCTTCTAAAATGAGAAAACAGATGCAAACACCTATTGTAAGAGACTTCAGGGAGACCTCTCTCTTTACTAAACAATGAAATAACTGTTACAGTGAATTTATTTATGTTTTACTTCCACTGTAGGCACATACAGAACTGTGGTACAGAGCCACACAGTATTTTTTGTTTTCTTTTTGACATATTACCCAACAGTAATGAGCAAACATTTAATGAGTGTCAACTCACTAAGTACAGTAACAGCAATGTTACTGGCGAATGAGAAAACTCCAGAGAAATCATTTTCATTCCTTCATTTCCTTGCACTGTGAATTGCATTTGCATCCAATATGTGCACATTTATTCAGTCATAGGATAATAATGATAATGGATTTTTTTTCTCTGTACTGCTTTCTCTGGAGATCTGTAGTTTTATCAATAGCAGAGTGACACACAAATAAATGGTACTCAGAATCTTTCTGCAGGCAAACTTCTGCATAAAATTTATCACATCAGCAAAAGAGGTATAACTTAAAAAGTTCTGTCAGTATTTAACATGGCCTCATTATTAATAGGCAGAATTCACTAAAAAATTATTCTTTTTCTTTTAGTGAGATAAGGAATACCATTGCCATTTGATTGTTTAGATGTTGTCAGACATGTCTGATGCATTATTTCCAACTCTTTACTTATCTAGTTAATTCCAGTATGTTTTGTGTAGAATGAATTCGGTTCCTTGTCCTGGTGATGCTTCTGTCTGTGGGCAGAGGCAGGCTCAGCCTGTCCAGCCTTGTGGATAGCCCGTCCCATGGGCCACAGAACGGCAAAACAGGAGGGAGGGCTCCTAGCTCCCAGTATTGGTACATCTGTGGTGGTGCAGGCCTACATCACCTGGTGCTAACAGGGCCCACCAAGGGAAGGAGGAGGAAAAAGGTGACCATCAAGGCATTTCTGTACACATTCAGTTGCATGAAAGGGAGAAGGGAGCAAAGGCAACCCCAGCTGCAGTCCAGAGCCAACCAGCTCAAAGGACTGTGCTTGTGAATAAGTGTCCTGGGTGAAACCACAGAGTAAATCCCACTCACATTTCTGAAGCTGCCATGTAAGCACAGAACCTACACGGCAGCTCTTGCTTATCTTTCCTTTTCTGGAGGATGACCTCCCCAAGGGAGAGGTTTTGCTTTGGAATAAATGTCAGGTTGGATGCTGGCTCCTCCCACATGGCTGTTGCTGCATCTCCACCCACAAGCAGGAGGATGGGAGACACAGGAGGATGGCTGCCCCAGGCAGATGCTGGATGCTCTTGCAGCACGTCTTGTTGGTTTCCTTACCTGCCATATCCCGCTTCATCTGCCAAAGAGGGAAAAGAATGAGCTTTGAGCAGCTACAGTTTCCTTAGTCATGAATCAAAGAAAGGGGATTTTCCCTGATTAGGCAGAGGAAGAAGTCAGGCTTCTGTTACTGTTCCTTAGTAAAGGGATACAAAGTTTTGGACTCCAAGCAGTTGAAACTGAAACATAGACGGTCCTGTCAAAAGTTAATCAGTCTAACATCCAAGTGAGTTCATTATTCAATGAAATGACTCTTATGGTGACATCTCTAAAACACTCTGGTTAGCTTAGTGCAGTTCTGGTGGGCGCGTTACCCGGCTGCGCAAGCCACCACTGCCAGTGCTGCACGATGCCTTGTTGCTGGCTGGGAAGGGATCCTGGGCAGGGCTCAGCCTCGGGACTGTCTCAGCCCAGGGCCAGGCAGCGCTCCCAGAGCAGGAGCTGCTGGATTCTGCCGCTGCCAGCGCACATTGCCAGCGCCACACTGCCCCCAGCACAGCCCCAGCTCCTGCAGGACGCACACGCTGCTCCACACAGGGTCCCCCCTCCTTAGCAGAGAGGTGTGTGGCTCCCTTATGGAATAGTTTTGCTTTTGAGACGATGCCAAGTACTCTTTTTTCCCTTATTTTTGTGTAAATCTCTATCCATCGTTCTCATAGCTCCCTGTAAGTGCTTACACCATTCTAGGCCTGCCATCCCAACGTTGCATTTCCAGCTGCCATAGTCATTTGCAGAAGGGAGAAATCTGAACATATCCTCAGTCTCTGGTCTTGAATAGGTGTTCCAATAAAAAGCCTTGGTAGAATCTCAGATATGGAAGAGATGCATCCTGAGACTGAGATATCGTGGGAGGACAATAATGAAATTTTACTTGCTGCAGTACCTGCTCTATAGCTGAGCATAGGGAACTGGCATCCTGTGCTGTTGTTGTACAGGACGTTTCTTCCTCAAGATTTGTCTTCTGAGAGAGAGAGGTAGGAGGTAGAAACACCTAATTGAAGAAAGTGTGTTTTTACCCCTGTATTTCCCATGAGTGCTTAGAAAAGCAAAAATAATTGGGATACTTGGTGTGGACCATCATGCAGAGGTTCAGATGATTATATAAAGTCTTTAGAAATTCTCTAAGAAAACCTAGAATCCCACCTAAAAATAGTGTTAGAATAGGCCCCCTATCATTTCATGGTGATATTTTCACTTGCAGCGAGAGACTTGTTAGGTTAAAGTTACACAAACTCGTGGGAATACAGACCTAGACAGATTTTTGAACCTCAGAAAATATGTTCTAACTTAGACAGAATTTGAGACACCGATCCTTCCGATTCTGTTTATTTCTGTATTGTTACAGTGAGTTAACTGCACCATACCAAAGACTTTTTTAATATAAAGATTTATCTTTTTTTTTCAGAAAAATATTCTCTCTTCCTTTTCCATTACTGTGTTTATAACAATAACACAGTACTAATATTTTTTGGGCAAAAACTCCACTTAAGATGTCAAGACATAAAGATGAGAAGGGATTGAAATGTAACACGCCTTACTGAAGGGGATTGTATTTGCAGTTTCCTTCTATAAAAATCTGTAGATGACAGGGTTTTTTTTTCTTAAAGAAACCTTTACTAACTACAGATTTGTAGTGCTTATAGATTGCTTCTCTTATAAACTGGCCATTATTTGATCTAGGTAACTGACTAAGTATTTGTACACACAAATAAAGTAAAGTCAGGTATTTCTGTTTAAGGACACATTTATTTAAGAACTTCATAACTTCTGATTGCTGCAGAACGAAAACTTAAAAATCTTGCAGACCTCATAGTTGTTGGGGTTTTGTTTCCTCTCTCTGCTCTCTAATGATGCTGTTCCTGTTAACGTGTGTGTTGGCACGCTCTGTCTGCGGTCCTCACGGATTTCCTCACTTACTTTGTACATGTGAGGAAATTCGTGGAGGAAACAACCATGTTTAGAAATAACCACGTTCCCTTGTCTGTGGTATTCCCAATTGCTTTGCTGTACAAACATGGCACGCTTAAACCATTATTTCCAAAGTCAGTGGAAGTGGTTGAAAGCTGGGTCTGTTGCAATCCTGAGTAACGCAAGGTACCCTTTTTTTAGAAACTTTTGGCTACTCCTGAATGCCTGGACACAGGAAGTCAGCTGTGGATCTAGCAATGGATGTAGTAGGTCTCCACCTTCTCAGGGTAGCTTGAGCACTAAAAACACTTCTTGGGAAACAGTCAATAGAACATACAGTGCATTCTGCTGAAAACAAAATAAAGGATGAAGTCATGTCTTTAGAGCAAGGCTGTAAGATGAGGGGAAGAGTCCTAATACAAGAAAAACAAGGGTGTGAAAGCAGCAGAAGTGCAAGCCTGTTGTCATAGCAGCACAATGCTGCAGGGCTAAAATGTATCTTATGCGAAAACAGATGAGAATTAAGATACGCAGGTAAGATCCAGGCACAGCCAAGGAAGAGGGAAGGTAAATAGCACGTTGCAAGGACAGTGTGGAAGTGTGTGCAGAAACCCCCCTGAGCTCCCGGTGTCAGCAGCAGCAGCTCCTCACAGTCATTCCAGCAGGCAAGAGG